CCAGCCCCAACCCTTGCCACAGGGGTACAGCTCCCAGGTGTCCCTTCAGCACCTCTCTTTGGGTGATGCTGTGGCTGCTGCAGGGGCACAGAGCACACACGGCTTCGGAGGCGCGCGTTGGAAATGCAAAAGGGACAATAGTCCAAATAAGTTTCTCTTGTTCAGGAATACAATGGGCAATTTGAAAAACCCCCATTAAGCATGTACATAGGAGCATTTCCCATTCTGGGAGACGAGCTGAATTGCTCCACGGGGCTGTATGATGACTTGCCCAAGGTGGTATCAATCAGGGCCCCATTCTGTGGGGAGGCACCCGCCGCTCGCGCCTCCCGCAGAGTCCCCGGGGACTAATCCTGGCTCCTTTGTCCTCCCTGCCACTCTGCTGCAAAACTGGGGCTGAGGGTGGGACCTGCCATTGTGGTGGTGCTGGGGTTGTGCTTTCAGAGGGGTTATTTGCATTGCCTTGATTAGCTCGTCAGCTGCTTCGTTAGCGAAGGAAATTCTCCTCCAGGCTCGGCCCCTCATGCAAATTGGAGAACACACGGAGATCCTTCCCCTCCAGGACTTTCCATTATTAGCAAAACTGGTAGGTTCTTTTTGTTCCTTCCTCTTCGGAAGGTCACTTTCATTTTCACCTCCAAATGAAAGTTCTTATTTAAGAGACAGAATAATTGTCTTCCCAAACTTTAACATACAGCCGTGCTGCCGAGAGAAAGCTGCTTCCAAACAGGAGTCTCGGGTGTGTGCAAGGCAGGTGGAGACTCCCCAGTTTCCATCTAATCCTTACACTAACTGCTGTCTGTCTGTGTCACCAAATCACTCATTTTGCTGGACGCCAGGGAGGTGTTTTTAGAGCCACCCTGCTGTGGAGGATTCAAACCTCCTGGGCTCGTTGGAGCAGTTCCTTCTCCTTGCTTCCTCAGCACACATCACCTTCACTCTGATGGCACATGGGGCATCTTCCTTCCTCTATCCCTGTTTTCCAAGCAATACAATCCCAGTTCCTCACAACTCACCTTTTCCCAAAACCTTCTTGCTTGCCTCCTCTGGCATAGAATCAGACTGGTTTGGGTGGGAAGGGACCTTTCAGGGTCATCCAGTCCAGACCCCCTACACTGAGCAGGAACACCTCCAACTAGGTGCTCAGAGCCCTGCACGCCCACACTGTTTTTTCTGGAGGTAGTACCAAAGAGACCCTCTGGAATGGCCCTAGGGGCAGTGGTGGGAGCAGAGGAGGCTCTTCCTGCACCTCTTCACACCCCGCACTACAGGCAGGAGTGAGCAATCTTCTTCCACAGCAGCACCCACCCTCTCTGGTGGCCACTGCCACCCCTGGATTTCCCCCAGCGTGGTTCTGCTTAACCAGCTCCCCGTGCTCCCCAGCCATGGCTGGGTCTCTGGCACTGGGAGGAGCTGGTTCCTCCTGGCCACCCCCACACGCCAGCCCTGTGGCGAGAGGAAAGTCCGTTCCTCGGCCCCATCTGCGGTCTGCAAGTGCTAGTTTTGTTCCTTGAAGTCATCTTTTGATATCTGTAGCTATTCCACCCTATTAACAGCACACACCAACCTCAGCGCTGCTGAAGGACTCCCCGTGTTCAGTTCTGATGTCCTGGTAAATAAATACCTCCTCAGAGGTGGGCAATGAGAGCCATGGACCTCGTCTTACAGCTTCTCCAGAGGCCACGCCTCACATCCCAGGGCCTGGCTTAAAGGTTTGTTACAGACTCATCTCAGGTTTTGGAGGTTTTCTTTCAGAGTCCACAAATTGTTATCAATCTTTTGTGATTTCAAGGGATCGCTTTTGTGGAAAGAACATCTGAAATGTGGTAATTAAATCTCTCACTCAGCTTTTCCTTGAGATCAACAAGTCACCATGGAGTGCTGGATCTCTCTTCTGAAGGGGAAGGCCCTTACACAGGCATTAACCTCACCAGCTGCAGGGTCAAAACTGCTGCCAGCCAGATAAAGGGTTTTCTCCATTCCTTGCCTCTTCTGCCATGGACCACGGTAAGGAGAGGAATCATAGGACTGTTATGATTTGAAGAGACCTTTAAGATCATCAGGTCCCACCATTAACCCAGCACTGCCAAGTCCACCACTGCCCCATGTCCCTCACCCCACATCTCCACAGCCTGGAAACCCCTCCAGGGGTGGGGACTCCACCACTGCCCTGGGCAGCCTGGCACAGCCCTGGGCAGCCCTCAAGGGGAAGAAATTGTTCCTCATGTCCAACCTCAACCTCCCCTGGCACAACTTGAGGCTGTTTCCTCTTGTCCTGTCCCTTGTTCCTTGGGAGCAGAGCCCGACCTCCCCCTGGCTCCAGGCTCCTGTCAGGAGCTGTGCCGAGCCAGAAGGTCTCCCCTGAGCCTCCTTTGCTCCAGGCTCAGCACCCCCAGCTCCCTCAGCTGCTCCTCACAGGTTTTCAGGTGAAGATGGAGCCATGTTGTGCACCCAGAGGCACTGCAGCCTCTTCCCTCACCTCACTGGCAGAGACTCCGGGCAGCCTGAGAAACCTGCGTGGGTCTGCTTGTCCTGGGTGGCAGGAGGGGGTCAGATACACATCTGCTGCTCAGGGAGATGCTGCTCCTGTGCTGCACAGCCCCGATGGCAGTGCCCGTGCTGGCTGCAGGGGGAGGAAGAGGAGATGCACCAGGGTACACAGGAGATGATGTGGGACTAAAGTCACAACCTCACCAATAAATCTGCCTTGGAGATGGCTGGCCAGGCTGCCCTCCCTGCCTCCCCCCTGAGACACTCACTTTGGTGGTGACCTCTGCCAAGGAGACCCTTTCCAGACAGTCCTGTGCACTCACCAAATTAAAGATAATTAATTGACCAGGTATTTCCTGCTACATCTTAAACACACCCAGTGGGCAATGCTCCCATGCACACGATGCTTTTTAACTCTCACAGGCTCCAGTCCCAGGATGACCAACCCAAAACATCAGTGGTCAGAGGGTGAAGTATCCTCTTGATAACAGTGACAGCAGGCGAGGTCCCTGGGCACCAGAACCTCACTGCTGGAGGAGGTGCTACCATCCCAGCCTCTGGGAAAGGTTGGGAAAAGCACTGCCCTTACCTGCCAGGCCCCTGGGACAGCTTTCCAGGGCAGGCAGCAGCAAATGTAAGCACACAGCACCCTGGAGGGGAGACAAACCACCAGCAGCCTCTGACCGTAGAGTATTTTGCATCATTTATTTAAATACTTATATTTATGCATTTACAAATTTTCATAGCTCTGTTTGTAGCTCTTTTTTTTTTGGCCTTTTCTTTTTTTTGTAGACAGTATTGCAGAGAAGTTAGCTTCTGTAAAATGAGGTCCATGTATAAAACTATGCAACGGATTGGAGAGAGAAAAAAAAACCAAACCAACCAAGTTTTCCTTTCATACTCTCTAGTATCAGAAATTGAAGAAAGTGACTGAAAATGGAGGGGGAGAGGGAGAGGAAGGGGTGGGACAGACCGACCTCAAACCAGTGGCTCCCTCACAAGCATTACAGGTCAGTGCTTGGCCTGTCCTGGCGGGACAGGTCACGGCTCCGTCGGTGCCACGGCTGCAGCAGGCACGTAGGGCTCCAATGGAAAAATAAAAGGAAAGGATCCTACCCACTGAGAAGGCAAAGCCTGGGCAGCCTCGAGATGGGTTCTAGGTGTCGTGGCAGGAAATGCCCGTAGGAGACTGCACCCACTCACCAGTAGAGCATCCTCATCCTAAACTTTCCTTTTGCATAAAAAGTTCCCTTTAAGAAATCTCAGCGTTTAAAAAAAAAACAAACCTGGTACCTGAGCTCTTCTAGCCTCGGTACTTTGAAGAAGTCACTTGAAAAACACCTCCTGCTTTCCTTGTGTGGAAGCTCCCGAGTCACGTTTTGCTTTAATTGATACCAATTTACCAGCTCACGGATTCCCAGGGTTATCTCTGGGAGGAAGAGGCAACAGATATGGCATCGCAAGATATTTACACACATGGTACAAAAAAATGTCCAAGGGTATGAAAAAATCACCAGTTACACAATTTTGCAGCAGCCTCATTTACACCTGTAATTTTATACCATTTATTACATTGTACTTAACACACCAAAGATGTGCACTCCCTTTGGGGACATTCAGGAGTTACAAATATATTGTGATTGCATAATTCATATTGCACAATTGTATAAAAACATAAATACTAGCTATTCTATTTTCTTTTTTTTTTTTTTTTAAATACAAAATACATGTCACATAGTCAAAGATTTCTTTTCAAGTGCAATTCAGGTGCTCTCTTTAGTCCTTCCAAGAAAAAGGCAATTTTGATAGTTTTGGCACAAAGTCGAACCTCTGTCCCGTGCCGACAGGTCTCGTTACAATACCTATGCCCAAAACTTGATCTAGTAGCAGTCATATACATACAGTATAAAAACAGGATATGTACAGGATGGACCAAACGTACACAGAAGCAGCCTCAGTGGTCGGGTCTGAACTCTGGGTGAGCACGAGGGGCCAGGGACCCTCCTGACTTAGGCCGGTTGCTGGGGGTTGACGCTGACGGGCGGAGGGTGGCCGAGGAGGCCGATGCGCTGCTTCTGCTTCCTCTGCTCCGTCATCTGGAAAATTCAAGAATTTTGCTCATGAAGCCCAGGCGCTCCCTGTGTGGCAGCCTGAAGGAGCTGGTGCTGCCCTCGGTGCTTAGCGTTCACTCTGAAACCTACTGGCCACAAATAACGCTGCCCCCAGGATGGAAACCACCAAAACCCCACCGTCGTTTTTCACTGCTGCTGCTGAGAAGCTGCCACGCTGCAGCTCACCCCTCTCTTCTCCAACGTCAGGAGGTTTCTGGCACCTTCCACCAGCCACCAGGCCCGTAAGGACCAGCTGTGGCATGAGCAGCAAACAGCTGGATCATGGTGGGTGCTCCCCATGGTGAAACCACCACCCGTTGTCCTACCCGACCTCTTGTAAGACATCTGTCCCCAGGTCTCTTATAGTCCCCTGTAGTCCTGGCAGCCCCCAGCAGGTCTCCCCAGCTGGAGCCTTCTCCTCTCAGCTGCCCCAGCCCAACTCTCTCCTGCTGGGCTCCCAGCAGAGGGGTTCCCCCCTCGGGGCATTGCTGGGGCTCCTCTGGCCCTGCTCCAGCAGCTCCCTGGCTCTGCTGTGCTGAGGACTCCAGAGCTGCCCCAGCACTGCAGGGGGGTCTCCCAGAGCTGGCAGAGGGGCAGGATCCCCTCCCTGCCCTGTGCCCACCCTGCTGGGGGGGCAGCCCAGGCTGCCGGGGGCTCCTGGCCAGCTCCTCACCCCCAGGGCCTTCTCCCCAGCCCTGCACCCCCAGCCTGGGCTGGCACTGGGGATTGCCCAGCTGCAGGACCTTGCACTTCTCCATCCACAACCATTTAATTTTTTCCAATTTTCAGATATTTAATCACAGAAATCATCCAATGTAATTGGTTGTGGAAGTAACTCCAGGAGAAGGGAAGTGGCAGGTTCACACGTTTTGTTCATTTGTACCCTACCCTTGGAGGCATTTGTCTGAAATCTCCAGTTTTGGCAACGCTGAGCAGCGTTCCCGTCTCTGGCGTGGGGTCACCCGGCCTGCTGGGGCCTGACCTCAGGTCTGGAGTTCATTGTGGGAAAAGGAACTGGCCCAAACAGGCCGTTCTGGGCCACCTCCAAAAGGCTCCTCCACGTCCCAGGGGCCACAGCAGACACCGCTGCTCTCGCCCCGGCGAGCTGGGTGTAATTACACTCAGGGAGCCGCGGGGGAAAGGGCTGAGATGCAGCAATTCCTCCTGAAACCATAATTAAAGCCCAGTGCAGCCCAGTGCCTGCTCGTCGCCTGACCCGAGGGCAGCAGAACTGTTCCTGCACCTTTCCAGGAAGATGACCGCAGCCTCACCAGGGCAGGTCCCACCCCCTGGAGTCCCTTCACAGAGCTTGTGACGCTGCACGGGCCAACGGGAGCAGGAGGAGAGGGGCCTGTCTGTCTGTGTGCCCATCGCTCTCTGGCCTCAGACACACAGGAGCTGCTGCTCTGCTGAAACCACTGGGACTTCTGAAAAACTGTTTCTGCACTAACCCAGAAGTTGGCAACGCAGAGAGGCGATGAGGACTTCATCCTAAAGCTTCCACTGAGCAAACCAAGAGCCACCACTTCACACAGCCAATAAACTGGCTCAGAGGACACATGAAATAAAAGTGGAAAGGAAAAGAACAATGAAAAGGGGCTGTAATAAATGTTTGTCGTGCTGTGCAGAAGGGATGGTGCAGCCCAACGCAGGTGGACGTGGGAGATGCACCTTTTAAAAAAAGGGAAGAATAAAACAAGGGAGTGTAAAGCAGAGGAATGCAGCTGCAGGGATGGTGCAGGAGGTCACTAACCCTGCAGGATGCTAACGCTTGTCTGGAGGGCACAGGGCGGCCACGGAGCGATCTCATCTCCATCCCACCTACCTGGAGGGGGGAACTTTTGGAAAAGGTTTACAGCAGCCAGGGCCTGACAGGCAGTGAAAGCTGCAGAGAACAGGGGAGATCAGACAGAGAAGCCCAGGGGCTGAGGCTGACCCGAGTCACGCCGGGCTGGCCCGCGGTCCTTCGGCACTGCCGGCCACGCGTCCCTCCTTCCAAAGGTCGTGGGTGAGTTGGCGTCACCACCAGGGGCAGGAGCAGGGACAGGGGCAGGGCACGTGTGAAGCGCGTGAGCAGGGCACAGCCTGGGCACACACACGTGGCCACGGTGCTGCTTGCCAGCCCGCCCAAATCCAGCCAACCCCACGTGGGGTGACAGGGGTCAGGGTCCTGCCTGGCGCCACGGGAGCGTCCCGAGCCCGAGGTGCCTCACAGCCAGGGGCTGATCCAGCTGCAGGCAACGCCCCTGCCGTCCTTCCACACTGCATGAAGAGTGTCGTGGCTCTTGGGAAAGCATGTCCACCCATGCTGGATTTCAGCTTCTAACAATTAGTCTCCAGAAAGCTAATGAGCTTGAAAAGCAAACGAATGAGAGGTTTTCCCTTTAGTTAATGACAAGAAGATAAATACAAATAAAAGTTCCCTGAGTTAGTTCCTTTTCCTGGAGACAGTTTCTGACCGGGAGGAGGGATCTGCTGGTTTATGTCACGTAATTGGAGCATCCTGCAATTGAAGCAGCGCTCTCAATAATGGTACTTAGAGGAATTCCTAAAAGCTATCACAGCATTAATGAAGCTGGTTTCCTCTTTTGCTTTTACAGTCAAATAGCTCTCTAAAAGCTAAATCCTTCACTCTTACTTTCACAAAGAGTGAAAAGGGGTTTTAGTGCTTGGTCAGCCAAGAGCTGCAAGCTTCAGAAATAAATGTTCTGATCCAGGGCTGGCTGCAGCCGATGGAAAGACTCCTGGTGACTGCAGACCACTTTTGAGTCAGACCCTTCAACAAGAAGACACAAGACACATGTTGCAAGATAATTGTTTCCAGGCAAAACAGCAAAACCCCTACCCGGCAAGTATTGAAGCACAGACAAAAGAGCAACTGCCTCTTATCCTCCACCCTCAAAATCAAGTAGAGCAAGGGGGTCCATGGCACAGTGTCTGAGAACTAATTACAGCTGAGAGCAGCAATGTTTTCTGCTCCCAGTCCGACAGGTTAATCCCTTCCTGGTGCTCTGTGGGGTGTCGGGTAGGAGGCCCCAGCTCCATCCAAAGGGCTGAGCGTGATCGGAAGGCAGGGAGCAGGATCTCAGTCCTCCCTGGCTTCCAGAGACTCAGCCTCCATGGGGGTAACTGGCTGACAGGGAAAAGTGGCCAGCCCAGAGCAGAGATGGGAAGCAGGAATCCCATGAGTTCTGGAGAGAGCTGTGCCAGCCACACACCAGACAGATCCCATCTGAGACAACGACGCGAGCCTGGGGCCGCGTCTGCCCCGTGCGAGTCCATCACGTGCAAGCCAGCAATTAATTTTATCCAGTGCTGGTACCACGCAAACTTAATTGAATCATCTGGCTCAGGTCATCAATCCCTACAGGGAAGCAGTCACTTTGCTGCCACAAACAGCTCCCACCAAGGCTGGCCACAGCATTTCCCCTTTTCCTTCCAGTTAGGCTCTAATCCATACAGACAACACTCAGTAAGGCCCTGCTGCCTCCGTGGTCTGGGCTGGGAACAACCTCCACCATCCCCTCAAGCCCCAGCCAAGCTGAAAGGAACACAAACCCTCAAATCCTTCCTGCAGAAGAGCTGCTGCACTGAAGAAACCCCAGAGGTTGGTGCAGCATTCTCATGTGAGGCAGCAGCAACACACCACAGCACCCAGACCTCTGTGGTCACCTCTGTCCCTGCTGCAGCCTCTGGTGTGACAGCAGCCAGGCTGCATCCACACCAGGGAGCACGGAGGAGACCACTGCTAACCACCCAAGTATTCCTCCAGTTTCTCTGTGGGTTTTGAGGTCCACGCAGCGACACAGCTCTTCTGTAGCTATCACACCCTCTGACTTACAGGACGGTGCTAAGGTGTTGGGGTTAGACCCTGTAGCAACACCACCACCACCACACAGAGGCTCCCTGCACCAGTGAGGACCAGTTTCACTTCACTTCAGCTTTGATTTTAAGCTAAGTTTTCCCTTTCTGGAGGTGGCTGCTTTGGATGACACTGGCAGGTAGGTCAGCTGGGGCCCTGGGCTTCATGATGACGTTTTCTTTGTTCACTTCTTTCCTAATCACAAGCTACTTTAGGAAGGCTCTTCACAGGGTTTGGAGAACGCAGGGAGCTGGAGTGAAACACCCCTTTGTACAGGAGCTTGCAGCACTCTCCCTTACCTGATCTTTAAGCTCCGAGAGCTGGCCAGAGAGGTTGGTCACAAGCTTCATGGTGGACTCCAACTTCTCCTGCAAGTTCCTCAGCTCGTTCTGCTCCCCCTCCGAGTCGCTGCTGACGAGGGACATGGCACGCATGCGGGGGAACCAGTCCAGGTTTCTCTCCTGAGGATCAGACACGAGTTCACAATTAGCGTCTGCCAAACGAAACCCCGCGCCCGAGTCAGTCTGATCTTCACTGCCAGGCAGGAACGTCCCCCAGATACACCAGCTCTGTAGCTATTTTCATTTGCATCTTACTGGGAAGTCTGCAAGATTGCCTGCTAGAGGCAACGAGGCACTTCAGACATAACTACTGAAGATTGAGGCTGCTTTTGGTTGGTTTTCCCATTCCAGCGACTCGCTCTCCTCTCCCCAGCCATTTCTTCCCCAGAGAAACTTCAGCCTAATACCTGAACACTGACACCAGCCCAGATTTCATGTCTGGACATTTTCCAGTGCTAGAAACCTGCTGCCATCTTATAGTCTTTTAACTTGCATTTGCTGAAGACTTTCTGCTGATAAAGCTGGTTTGCTTTTCTGGTCCAGCAAAGTCTGGCTGTGCTTTCTAATGACAGAAACCACGTTCTACCTGAAAATGCTTTCATAGTTGAAAACAACAAAAAAAATCATATTCTGACTGGCTGGTTCAGGCTAAGAAGGGGTCAGATTAAGTTACAATCAATTGCTTATAATCAAGTTTCCCTTCAGGCACTCAATTCTCTAATATTCAAGTGAGGAACTCGAGTGGACAGGTGCTCCCAGAGGCTCACACATACACTCACGGGCGTGCCAGTGACGTTAAAAATAAAAGCAGGAACGGAATAGAAAGCCACAAAAGAGGAGGAGGGGTGCATACCACAGCTTGACACCTTACATTTCAACACCAAACTCGCTTCCTATCAAGTCTGGTTCTCCTCCCACGCTGGAGAAACTCTCCGAAATGGAAGTTGAAGTAATGCTGGAGGAGGTAAGGATGGGTGCTCTCCCAGAGGTGACACTGCAACAGCTGACAGCACTTTGAGCAAGCCAGGGGAAATGGTAACAGGCTACTGGATTAACAGAATCTCAAACTGAAGATCCATCAACATCACTGGTTAATGGCAACCAGAATCTGCCCTGCTATCATAGAATCATCAGATGGTTTAGGTTGGAAAGGACCTTCAAGATCATCTCGCTCCAATCCCCCTGCCATGGGCAGGGACACCTCCCACCCCAAGGCCCCCCCCAACCTGGCCCGGGAGACATGCTGTGATGGAGCATCCACAGCTTCCCTGGGCAACCTGTTCCAGTGTCTCACCACCCTCAGAATGAAGAACTTCAGAATTTCTAATCCAAACCTCCCCTCTTCCTGTTTGAAGCCAGAACTCCTTGTCCTACCACTACGAGCCCTTGTAAAAGTCTCTCTCCATCTTTCTTATAGGCCACAAGTACTGGAGGCCACCAGAAGGTCTCCTCAGAGCCTTCTCCTCTCCAGGCTGAACCACCCCAGCTCTCTCAGCCTGGCCTCCCAGCAGAGGGGTTCCAGCCCTCAGCTCTGCAGGCCGGGCTCTTTGCTGGGCTCTCTCTCATGCCTGTGGCTGTCAGAGCCCTGCAAACTCTCTCTGGCTTCCTGCCATGCCCTTCCTAAACCTCCAACTTAAACCCCCTCCCCACTTCCCCGCTCCCCCAGCCCCAGGAGCATCCCTCCTGCTTAAATCAGGGCTCTGCACCACTACAGAGAGTTAGAGTCACGTCCTCTCTGCAATTCAGACGTGGTGCCAAGACTCATCATCTTAAATTAGTTGCTTCTGATCTGCTTGGAGTTTCCTAGAGCCGGGATGAGAAGGCAGCAAGGGGCCCTGGCCCGTGCGCACGCCGCGGGGTTCCCACGCCAGGCAGCACTGCCAGCAAGGCTTTCTCCTCCCCATCTCTGTTTACAGGGCAGATGGTTTCTGCTAATAAAGGAAAAAAAAATACATGCACAGGAAAAAAGCCTCTACCAAGACGAGTGCCAAAATATTTTGGACTTTAGGAAGCGACAGTGTCACAATTAAGATTTAATAGTAGTAACAGGCAACGTTTCACTGTGTCCTCCCAGCTGCAGCAAAATCCTCATCAGGGAGGAGAGGGCAAGCTCCTCACTTGTGCTCAGGTCCAGCACCTCCCCAGCAAAGTATTTCCCCTCCCCACCCAGGGAAAACAAACTAAACCAACTGCTGTTCCCTCCCTGCTCTCCTCCAGCTGAGAGGTTTTCAAGGACAAGGCGAATCAGACTAAAATGGAATTCACACTTGCAGGCTCTCCTGGACCCTCAAGGTCCATGTCCTGAGGTTTCTGGGCAGATACAAGAGCAGAGCCTTGAAGCTCTTGCCCACCTCCTACTTCTTTACTGTAGAAATATTGTTATTTTACTTGCTCCCAAAGAGGGGAGCTCTCCAAGCCCATCCTCAGAGCACTCCCCATCCTCATTCTTGGAGGGGACAAGAGGAGCAGGACCTGGAAGCATCAGCCTTTCCCTCCCTGCAGTGTTTTATTAACAAATACCCCAAACCTCTTCTAACATTACTTAGCAAACACTGTAGCTGCTGCAGAGGCTGCAACCTGGTTGTTACAGCAGGGACAGTGACGGGCAGCCTCAGATGGAGAAATGATTCTGTCATTTTAAAAATCACACCAGCGAGCACCACAGGCCTGGGAGCTTCTGTGGGCTCACCAGAAGTTTCAGACTCACTGGGTTTCTGAAAGCCCCAGCTCTCGAAGCCCTGAGTATGGGAAATGTTGGCTCTCAATTGAAAAAACAACAAAGTGCCTCTCTAGTTCTCATGGCACTGACTACAGAAGCTCCACGTGAACTCCACAAGCTGAGCAAGGAGAAGGCTAACGGAAAGGAGACAAGCCTCATGGCTCCCCGGGCAGTCACCTCAGCTGCAAGGACAGGACTTGGCCTGGGACTGGCAATACTCCTGCCAAGTCTTGATCCATCTCTGAACGAGTAGAAAGGGGCACCTGGAAACTCTCTGTGCAGAGACAGGCTTTGGGAAGGACCTGTACACCTCACCTGGCCAACCCACGGCACGGGGCTGGACCTCAGCTGCACTCCTGTTCAGGTTTCACATCATTCACTGGCAGAGCTCAACCCCAAAGTTCAGCTGGCATTGTCCAGCTCCCACCCAGCAGGCGATAAGGGGATGTCCACCCCAGCAGCCTGGGCACAGATGGACAGGTAAAACTGCACTGGTGTGGGTGAGATGGGCACCAGTGCTCACTGGGCCACGGTGGCTGCTGGGACCCTCCGGAGCAGGGATGCTGCTGGCACACACGGACACTTCTCCTCTGTGCCAACACTGTCTCTCAACCCCTTTGTTCTGGCTTAGCATGGAAAACCTCCAGCACGTTCCTAGGGCCTCCCTAGCACTGCAGAGAGAAGCCCCAGAGGTGCTGCCAGGCAAGCTTCTGCCCGGAACGCCCGTCCCTGGCCGTGCTGAGGGGGGTGGGCGTGGGGTGTTGGCTGTTGAATACCTAACGAGGGATGCCTCCAGTGGAGCTGCTGAGAACCGAAACAAGCTGGGACACAGGAAGGTCAGGGGCTGAGGAGCCAGCCTGGCTCCTGGCCCCGCAGAGCCCTGCTCTTCAGGGCTGAATAAAAGATTTATATCTCCATGATCTAGTTTCTGCTGAACTTTAACTGAACGCCGGGGTGTCTTTAAAGCTACAGCCTTACATCTTTCGCGGGGGGTTCGGCAGAGCTTTCGGAGGGGAGCCTGAAGGGAAAGGGTCTTCCTTGGTCCCTTTTCCCCCTGCCTGTGCCTCGTCAGGGCTGCTGGCACCTCGCACGCCCAGGGAGTTAGGCACGGGCTGTGGTGCTCCTGCAGGGCCTGGGATCCTGGTGTGCAGTCAGCTCCCTCTTCCCGTCACAGGCGCAGCTTCCTCTGCTTGAAGAGCCGAGCTGAGCGAAGCCGCCGCCGGAAGCTGGCTAACCACAGGGGCTGGGTTTCGGGTGAGCTCTTTTCTAGGTAAAGTTGGAAAAGTCCCTCTCTGTAAAGCAAATATCATTAAATCTCAGACATGGGGGCGACGCTGACCGTCCACGATTGGAAATTTGAAAAAGGGGAAGCGGCGCGGCGTGATGCAGATGCAATTCATTCTGAGAAGCTCCTCCCTGCTTCTGCCGAAGAGTTTATTCTAAGAAAGGTTTCTGAGGCAACCTCAGGGCGAGCGGTGCCAGGAGATGCATTAGCTCCGCTCCCCGGGTGGGAGGTGGCTGCTCGTGGCAGGGACCTGTCTCTACTTACTCCACCACCCCTCTGTGTAATATTTATGGGGTGCTGAAGGGCTCGCTCAGTGCTCCTCAGAACAAATCCCACAGCCTGCCCAGCAGCCGTCTTTTAGCAAGGCACGGCAGCAAATTTCAGCTTCTGGCATGTGTTGTTAGAAATCATACCCGTACAGCTAAGGACCAGCTTGGTGAGGTGCTTGGAAAAGTCTGCTTCTGGTGAGATGAGACTCCTCTTGGTTCTTTCTTGTGCTTCCTGGAACGAGCCCCATGTCAGGCTCTTTCTCCCCTGCAATGGACTCACCATCA